AAAAATAAAATATATTTAGTGAAGTAAGTAGGTAATTGCAGAATAGATAAAAAACCTGTTCCTTGCTAATTAGTTCTATAAGATAACATATATAAAAATAAAATACTACCTATAACCTATTGTATATCTTATATCTCAATATCTATACTCGTTTATGGTATTAATTATTGTATAGGACCATTAGACATCATTTATAAGTCCTGCTGAAGGGCTGATCCAGAACCTGTTGTACAATGCTAATTTTAAATAGTTAACGAAAAATTGTATTATATTTTTTATAAATAKGGGTACAGACACTCGCCATCACCCTTGGTTCTCCAAATTTTTTATTTTATGTTAGTGGCTGTCCCAAATATAAATTAAATACCTACTTGGATAAAATCCAATTATTCGCTACTTATTAAACAACGGAACTATTATCAGAACAAGTTTAAGGTTTTTAYAATATGTTTATGTTAAAAGTAGTATTTACTTAGAAGAATGGAAACATACAAAAGTACTTAGCTACATTTTTGTTGAAAATATTTGCCTACCCAATCACACAATACAATTTATGTTTTAGACTGATGTAAACACTTGGTGGCCCAATGGATATGGCGAACAGCCACTGTACAATTTAAGCATAGAATTTGAAACTAAAAATGATAATGTCCAATCAAGAACAATTTCTATAGGGTTCAGAACAGCTGAACTTATCCAGAAACAAATTGATAAAAATGATCCAAGCTTGGGTATACTATAGAAGTGTAGTACAAAATATGTAGTACCTAAATAATAAGTATAACTGTATAGGGCTCAGAAGTTGACTATCCTAAGAACATTAAATAATGACTTGAAATTAAGGTTTTGTTTAGACCCTAAAGACAAATTTTGTATAAATATTTAAAAAGTTCAAATATCTTGTCAGATTAATAATTTTAAAGTCTATTTTAATTGTGAAATCAGTGATGTAGCCAGGGGGTTCTTGCCTTCTTGGGTTCCAACCCCCCCTGAAATAAAATCCTGGAAATGTGTCTGTGTAATATAGGACACTAATGATATAAACAACAATTTGTGATTTTTCTTTCGGTTAGTGCCATAGAAAGAAGAAGAAATAGATAAATTTTATAAATTGCAAAATAAAAATTATAGTTATTTAGATTTATAAACATTGAAACACATTTTTGACTAGGAAAGTACCATATTAAAATTAAAAAAAAAAAATCTATAAGTCATCAACTTCCAAGACCTACTTATAACTTATAAGTAATAATTAGGTACAAAAAAATCTGATGCATATTGTTTGTAAATATATTTTTTAGGATTGTCTTTTTATTTTAAAATTAATGGTGTAGCAATATTTGCTAAAGGCACTAATTACATTCCGGCCAATGTATTTCCTGAGAAAATGAATGATGAAAATGTCATAAGTAATTTGTTAACTGCAGCAAAACAAGTTCATATGAATACCATTCGTGTWTGGGGTGGCGGAGTGTACGAAAGTGATATTTTTTACAAAGTAATTATTAATTAAGTTATCCAAAATTAAAATATCTTGATGTTAATTAAAAATTGTTTGCATAGTTATGTGATAAGTTAGGTATAATAGTATGGCAAGAYATGATGTTTGCTTGTAATATGTATCCAGCAAATCATGAGTTTTTGGAAACAGTAGGGGTGGAAATAAAACAACAAATTAGAAGATTACAACATCATCCTAGCATAATATTGTGGGCTGGTAATAATGAAAACGAAGCTGCGTTGAGAGGCAATTGGTATGGAACTAGAAACAATTATTCTATGTTTGCTTCGGACTATATTACTCTATATGTCAATACAATAAAAAAAATAGYAATGGAAGAGGATAAAACAAGAAATTTTGTGGTGTCAAGTCCCACTAATGGCTTAAAATCTGAAGAAGAAAATTATATAGCGGAAAATCCATATAGCGCATTATACGGAGATGGTAARTTATATGAACTTTAAATCAAGTATTTAAATCATTATTTAACTTTTTTTTTTGCTTACATTTTCTAGTACATTACTATAACTATGAGGTTAATAGTTGGAGTTCAATTTTTTTTCCATGGACTAGATTTGCATCAGAATATGGGCTACAATCTCTACCTGCATATCAGACACTGCAAAAAGCATTTGATATAAATGATTTAATTAATTTTCCTTCACCAGCATTAATTCATAGACAACATCTACCTTTAGGATATGGTTTCATGTTATATCAAATAGAAATGAATTTACCTGTACCACCWAAACCTAGTGTTAGTGATTATGTGTACTTGAGTCAAGTAAGTAATTGTAATTAAAGATAACTTATAAGATATCGATTACTACTTGCTATTATGATTAATATTATATTAGATTGTTCAAGCTAGGGCTATGAGAATACAAACAGARTGGTATCGAAAACATAGAAATACATTATTAAAAGATGGTAGAGGTTTAACAATGGGTGCATTATATTGGCAATTAAATGATGTATGGCAAGCACCATCTTGGTCATCAATAGGTAATAAAACTATTYTAAAATTTTTTGTTTCAATAAAAATTGATTTGCTTACATATCAGTTTTGAACAAAAAAATTCTTTGATTAATTTACCAACAAAGTCTATTTGGATTTTATCTACAATTAAAAATGCATAAATTTTATTAAACATAAACTTGTTTATGGATTTGTCAATACTTAAGGATTAAAATGAAATAATATTAATGAAAATGTTTATAAAATTTGACGATAAAAAAATAAATTGATAAAATAAACTATAAATCATATTCAATTTTTAAACTGTGTTTAATTAATTTCACTAATATATTAATAATGAAATTGCATTTATTTTACATACTGCATAATGTTAATCCTTAAGAAATGGTAAATTCAATGCGCGTATACTGCATATTTAATAAAATGTAAGCATTTTTAGTTAGGTATAAGATGAAATCGTTATAAACTGTAATAATTGTTTGATCACAAACTTTTTTGACAGATATAAAGTCATATAAACAGACACAAATAACGTTTGAGATTTAGGGAGAGGAGCGTATATCTTAATGTACATTTTTTCATATATTTGCATGTGGTGTAAAATCACAATGGTTAGGGAGGCTTAGACGCCACCCCACCCCTCATATCCACACACTATTTGTGCATATGACACTTTTTTCTTTACTATTTATTATAAATGGATAACTAAACTATAAATTAAAAAATTAGTTATTTAAGTATAAACTATGATTAATAAAATAATAGATGTGATGTATTGATATTAATTATAATTTTTATTTCAAGATTACGACCAAAACTGGAAAATGTTACACTATTCTGCATTAGATTTTTTCTCACCAACAATCATAGTTCCAGAGTTAGAAATTTCAAATAATTTAACAATTTATGTTGTTTCTGATATTTTAGTGGATTTGGAAGTAATTTTTAATGTGGAGGTATACAGCTGGAAAAGCAATATACCACTCTCTACATACATATCAGATACTATATTGTTGGTTCGTAATACTTAATACTTAATTGTTAAATTTCAATATTGTAAAGTTAATTTTCAATCAAATATTCCTTTAATTGTTTCAGAAAAATAATAGTGCCCAGTTAATTTTAAATGAAAACTATTTTAATTGGTTAAAAGCAATAACACAGAAATGTGGTCAAAGCAAAGACCAACAGATGAGATCTTGTTTTTTGCACACAAAGCTATATTATAATAATATAAATATGACAGAGGCGTCTCCATCAAATTACCTGTTCCCAACTGCATTCAACAAAATAATTGGTTACGAGACACCTAATATATCGGTAATTTTTTTTTGTTTAACAAAATTATTATTTTTTTTAATCAGCAATATTAATTAAGGAATCAAAATAATTTTAACTAATTAAAATTGTGACTAGAAATATGGGTTTTTTTGTATAAAAATAACTTTATAATATTATTAGATTAAGTTAATATTTATGTTAACCATATTATCATTATAAAATACTTCTAAAAAAAATTGAATATTTAACGTATATTCTTAAAGTACTAATTTAGGTTATAAAATAAAACAATTTTTTTTATTGATCACAAAAAACATYAATAGCAAAGGCCATTAGTTACAGAAAGTTAAAAGATAAGCATGAATAAGTGTTTACAACAATATTTACAAGGATGAGTTATAAATAAAATGGGTTGTACATTTTTTAAATATATGATTGTATAATTGGGAGTGTTTTTTTAAAAATTAAATAAATCTGAGTTATTTTTAGGATTGGGACCTAGTTCGGAGTCCTGTGACCTGTATGATATTGTGTGCTTAACTTGTTCTTGGTTGTACAATAAACAGTCTGCAATTATGTGTTTGACTATTAACATAGTTCCACAGGTTTGAAAAATGGGAGGCTCGTCTCTTATAAAACAATTTATTGTAATTATTAAAGAGATAAAGATATAAAAAGATAAAAAGATTTATAGGACAAATGGATTGCTTACAATCTTTACCTAATAGTTAATATTAAAAAGGACTATGTTGATGTATACTGTGTGGTAGACTCTGTATTACTTATTACTGGTAAATCCTTAAGAGTTTTACATTAAATATAAAAATTTTACCATACAAATGTTAATATATTATTATTTAATAATAAAGAGTTCTWATTGTATAAATTGCTTTCAAGTATCGATTATTATAGGAATTTATAATTAATTATATCTTGTATTGTTAGTAGTAAAGAGAATTCCATGTGTTTAAGAAGCATTTACAATTATTACACCACCCCATATTTTAGAGGTCTTATGAATATATATGTATGCCCTAGGCATAGRAAGGTAGTTTTAGAATCGATATAATATCAATCTCATCTCAAAAAATTTGTAAGAGCTATGCTTCAACTTAATTAAAATTATTTCTACCTAACTTTTGAGAAGATCATAAATATGTCATTATTTGTTTTTAAAAAGCTTAGCAATTATTCTAAATTGTCACACAAAATGTACTACAAATAATTAATAATCTAATAATTTTGTAATCATGCATTCAAATTTAGGAGTTTATTATATTTGTGAATGTTGTACATACATTTTACAGAAGTGTGCAAAAACAAAATATTACACTTCATTATTAATTTTTTCAGAATAAAGATTGSTCCATTATACCCTATAAAAATTATCCTTAGTATAATACATGCAAAAAACCTTTGTTTCAGTATAGTGTCGGCGCAAGGTTTTTCTGGGCCCAGGGCAAGTAAAAAATGTGGGGCCCTCAATCCTATGTCCTATCTTATAATATTCTCATCCTAAATTCATTATAGATTTAATATATAATTTTGTCCATTGATTTTAAAACAAAAAAATATTATACATTAGGTATGTAAATAAAATTCAAAATATTAATTATTTATTTTTAACTAATTAAATCCGTTACCATTAATAACTTAGAGGAAATTAATAACTTTAATTTATAAAGGAGTTTAAAACAAATGAGCAACTGAACAATTTATAATATTATTCAGATACATAATACATTGTTAAAGTAAAATATTGTAAGTTATATTATTTTTATTTTTATTCACAGGTTTCCAGAATTTGGCAAGAAAAAAGAAATCAAATAAACGTAAAATTGGAATCAACAGGAATAGGTTTGTTTGTTTGGTTAAATGTCACTCAAGTCGATGGAAACTTCAATGAAAATGGATTTGTTATGTTAAACAAAACAAAAACAGTGAAATATACATCAAACAAAGATATTTCATTAAAAAATTTTAATTTAAAAATTGAACACCTTAGAACTAAATTTATATAGATTAAAAATTATACATCTCAAAAAAAAAAAATAATATATACATAGTTTAGAAATTATTACCCTTCTTAGATCAAAATTTATAAATATTAAAGCAAAATAAAATTATATATTTTATTGATTTACAGGTTTTTTTTTAACTTTATTCTCTGGAGCATTAGGATTTTGCCCTTTATAAAATTGTTTAAGTAAATCCATTGCCTGGTTTCCAAATAATCCACCTTGAACTTTACATTTTTCTAAACCAGGAACAGCAAGTACAGTACCACAGCCTCCAAAACGGTCATTTGCACAACCATAAATAATGTTAGAACAACCAATATTTATCAACATCGCAGCACACATTATGCAAGGTTCCACAGTAACAACAACAGTTATCTTAGATAGTTTTTTTAAAAAGCCAGCCTTAATGATTGTATCAACACAATTTATTTCAGCATGTCTAGTTGCATTTTTTGTTTCATTTACTGTGTTACGACCAGAAGCTAAAATATTACCGTCATTATCAACAAAAATACAGCCAACAGGAACCTCACCAACTTCTAATGCTTCTTTAGCTAAACATAATGATATATTCATATGATCACTCCAATCCATTTTTAATTAAACAACTGGAGAATATTGTTTGATTTGAGTATAACTAATGTCTCATTTTTCCATTTTTCTGCTTTGCCATAATTGAGAGGACTGGGATGAGGAATTCGTACAACCTAAAATTATAATCCGTTAGTGAATTATTTCTTTGTTAGTTTAAACTAATTTTACCTTAATATTATTTAATTTAAAATTCTTGACTACTTCATTAGATCTTTTTTCRGCATATTTTCCAATAGCAACAATGGTGTCAATATGAAGTAAAGTAAGTAAATCACTCAATGATTTGTCACAGATTTCATGTATTTGTTTTTGGTATTCACTCTAAAACATAAATAATAAATAATTTAAAATAGATAAAACAAATAAATTAATAGTACTGTGTAGTGTGTATGTACTAGTATACTGAACAAGTATATTATACAACAGAATAAATGTATTGTGTAATTGTAAATTCAGATTTCAGTATTGATCCTACAATCTGCTATAAGATATCAAATTATTTGCACTATGTCTATAAATAATMTAGATTCTAGACTATGGTTTAGAAACTGGAAGGATAAATATAACCATATGAAATTATATATTAAYTACAGGATTAATTCTAAGTTTTGTCTCCACGGCAATGTAAGTCACRTCTATGGTTTGCYTCATGTTCTTATTGCAAACAAATTTACTGATTGTATATGATAAATTATGCAAAATATATAAATATTATTGTATAAAATAATTGTCTTAAGTGTCATTGTAGAAATAATACTAGATTAAAAAATTCAAAGTATTAAACTATTATAGGTAAACAAGTTTAAGGTCTACAATTTTGATCGATGGTAATTAATAGTACTCAAAAGCTAGGTCATAAGACACAAGAACCAATAATTAATAACTAGAGTTGAATTTTAAAATATTACCTTCAAATCCGCTGGTGTAATATTTTTAGCATTTTTATTCATTAATGCCAGAGGAAAATAGTTATGAATAAAGCAATCTTTGAAAAACTTATATGGATCTTCTTCAGTGAGGTCAATAATAAGATCCCATAATCTTTTACCACTTACTTCACTTCTATGACAATCAAGACCAGTAACTGGTCTTTTAGGATGAAATTTTGTGGGTTTTAATACTTCTCCATCTACTTTTAAATAACTTCTAACAATTTCAACTTCACCAAACGGTATCTAAAAGTCATAAAAATATAATTTATGTACCATTTTAAAAATTAGAAATTAAATACTTACACCAGTTTGACACATTCCCCAGGGTCCTGGGTTAATGCCTAAAAATAATACTTTTTTGTTTGAATTTAAAAACTTTTTTAAAAATATCTTATGTAAATTGGAAGCATAATCTAATGGATTATAAATATAATCAACATTAGGACCATATTTCAGATTGTTTAACTGTGATACAAGATCATTTTCTAAGTTTATAAAACAATCAGCTAAATCTTCAGTTTCAGGATCATTTTGTTGAGTAAAGTATTTCGATTCAGCCATTTATAACTGCAAGAAAAAAAAGATTAGATTATCATTTTAAGTTGTAATAGGTTTTAAATAACTAGAAATTTCAAAAATTATGAATTTTTATAATTGGTCTAATATAAATATATAATACATTGATACCTCATTAAATTAAATATTAGATTGCAGACTATAACTTTTGTTCCATTTAACTGATATTATCTAGAGTACCTAGTAAGGCAACAATATAAACAAAGACAGAAATCCATAAACATGTCATATTGTAATCCAATACAACTAGGTGAAAAATAAAAAAAAACTTAAAAATATATTAAAGTGTACCTTATGTAATTAAAGAACAAGCAAAATTTTCCAATTGTCTTCTAGGAAAAATACCCAAGCATCTATTATCTATCTATAAGTATCTATTTTAATATAGTCATGACATGATTAATTATTTTATATAATTATAATTAGGAAATGGCAAATTTGCAGTTAAAATACAAAAATATGAACATAACTATAGAAGTTTAAATCATAAATTATATGTGAAAAAAAAATGTCTAATTTGAGTGTACCTAATACAGGAAAATAATGTTAATTTAATAATATATAGAATTTATTAATACTATATAATTAATAATTATAAGCATATAAATACAAAGTACAAAATAATTTTATCATKAGATAAAAACATTGATTATTTTAATTAAAATATGTATTAACATAATATAAATCTTTCTCCAACTTATCATTTAATCTTATAATCTCTTCATATAAAAGTATTCTATAATGCCCATTATTTAGTAATAATATTATCATATTATTATTAAATATCAAGTAGTAATTTGATAATTTCAAAAATATTATCAAACAAAAATTTTTGTACTCTATTCAGAATCAGAACAGAACATGCTTGCACAATTGTCCGTAGAATGGAACGGATGCACAAACTACAAGATTTTGTCAACCAACCAGTGCATTTTAATTCTGAACAGAGTATAGTTTGAGAGCCTTGATATAAAAGCCTTTGGTAAAATTCTTATTTATACCTAGTTTTAAAATTTACAACTGAACAACTATAATTTATTGGCTACCTACTCATAAATATATTTTTATTTGTTAAATATTATTGAACACATAAAAATTTTAATTTTACGTCTATGTTATGAGTTTAGGTATTTTATTATAAATAATATATTCAAAATATCAAATTACATACATACATTATACATTAACACAACTAATGCGAGTAGTCATTATTAAATGTTGAGATGATACAATGAGCAGCAATCACTGTCACAGTGTCGAGGTCGTATTTTGCTTTCATAAATATTGATTCTCAATGAAATATGAATGAACTCAAACATCGTACATTGTAGCATTTGAAATCATTACTTATTATAATATACGTACCTAGAAAAAACAATTTGAATTGAAAATTAACTATATAAGGAGAAATTAATAGCTAGCCTATTTCTATTATCAACCTTTATAGAAAAACTTTAACTGTACGTAATTCATGAAAGGTTATTAACATATTATGTAAGTATTTTATTAATTTACTTTTCTGTTTTAAATTTCAATTACCGATATTTAATTTAAACGTTCTTACTCTTGTATTTTTGTATGTCTAAGGGGTTTTCCGGTTTTCCAGCTTCTACAATAAAATTTGTTTAAACGTGGTTTGTACAATTAATGTTTTTGTAATCGGTAATATTCAAGGTTTTTTGGTAGATAGTATTATCTATTTCAGATATTATCAATCAGTCTTGATAAGCAATGAAAAATCCATAAATATTTACAAAAAATATATAATAATATTATCTTGTAAGTTGTATAATACCATATTAATATCTATGATTAAATCGACAAATAATTTAGTCGTCGACCAAATATAATTGACATTTATGCGTATTGGTTTTTAATAATAATATAATTATTATACTGAAATCACCATCTTCGAATGTTAATAAATAATTATTCATTTATAGCTATTG